GGGTTTTGTTCGTTCCTATGAACAAGTGTGAGCGTGTGTCTGTGTGTGGTTAAGAGAGGGAGCTCTTTGATTAGAACGACCCATCCGATCGTAGCGGGTCAAATTCCGGATGCAACAGAGTAACAATTTGATACGTGAAGGTGATTGAGTTGCCCCGGGTTGCTTTGATCTGTCGCCCTGGGCTCCGGGAGGAGTGTAGCAATTTGAGGGAAAGTTCGGTTTGTTGGGTAGTGTGTCAAAGTCGAAATTTGGTACAGTGCCATACATAAAGGGGGAAAGTGTACGGAAGGCTTCAGCGGGGTGGAGGGGGGCTGGGGTTGATTCAAATTGCACTTCTTTTTGTTGATTTTGCGATTTGCTTAACTTGTTCATAACTGAATTAGGGTTTTGTCGAGCATTGCAGCATGGGTGTGTTTGTAACTCGTTCTGTGCAATATCCCCTACACGAAAATAATTATTCATATTGAATTCCAAATGCAAGGGGATGTATTATGAGGATTTTTTGACGTAGGACTACGGCTGTGATTTCAAGATGGGGGTACACTTTGTGAAAACCGAAAATGGAACATGTAACGAAATAATGAAAGATTTTGAACGTTAATAGCTCAGCTGCGCCTGGACCAATTTCAATAATTTTAGCATCAATCGATCAGATATATTTCTACGCATTGAAAGCAATGTTTTTGACTGTTGATTTTAAACAAGAAACTATTAAAAAAGTGATGGAGGTATATCTATCATTTTACAGAATGCTTTCCAGAACTGGCTGTGTTGGTGTTAGATTAGATGTTAGTGTTAGATTAGTATGCGTGCTCAGAACACTTTGTCATTTGAGTCTACTTGTGCTATTTATAGTGAGTTGCAAAATTCGGTTCGGCGGAACATGAAATTATCTCGAGAAAATTTTCGTGCCATGATTTGTTACGACTTCGCTGTGGTTTATCTCAACAACAGTGTTCCGATCAACTCGATTCACCTTTTGGTGATGAAGCACCATCCCGGGCCTCAGCGATGCCATACTCAATTGTGGTCGTCGTGCGCTTCAGGACGAATTTCGTGAGGGACGTCCAAAATCAGCTTTTGTGCCAGAAAACATTGATACTGTGCGTGACCTGATTTTGAAAGATCGACGTGTGACTTACCGTGAGATTGAGGCATGCCTGGGCATAAGTTCCACTTCTATAATTTAATACTGCATGAACATTTGGCCGCCAAAAATATTTGTTCGTGTTAGATACCGCATAATTAGACAAATGATCAAAAAACTACAAGGGACAGCCCTATGGGGTTGTACGCAATGGTGACGTAGGACTACGTGGTCTTATATAATAAATCTTATTTGTTAACTGCAGCAGGAGCTTGTGTTTTGTGTAGGAATAGGAATTTAAGGAGGGTCTCTCTGTTTGTACTCTTTAGTATGACGCGCTTGACATAGATGGCCCACAGCGACTCAAAAAGAGCTACTGATTCCGATCAATAGCGGTGCGGCTTCTTCCTCCTTCTATGGATGCTCATGTGGGCTGCAGCTCGCTACTTGCAGGCAGCCTTTCGTTGTGTACAGAAGAACACCACCACTCACCACGCGATGATTGAATAAACACCGTTTGGTGAGACCAGATTCAACTTTGAAATCTGTGTTAGGGAAATCGCTTTTCACAGGCAATCGGTGATAATTTTAATTATCATAGCAACAGTTGCACATTCGTGCCATTTTCAATAGTGACATTTTGAAAAATGATAAAGTCTTAATTTTAACAGGCAGAGAATGGTGAGTTGAGGCTAGAGAGCAGCGCTCTCTTATATCTTTTCAGGTTCAAGCAGAACGACGTGCAACCAAGTGGCACTCGATTATGACGACTGGGTTTGGGAAGAATGTTTATTTCATGAAAACAGTGACAAAATTATCACTCTTTATTTGTACATTGGACAACGCTTGACATTTACCACTTTTCAATAGTTTCTTGATGAAAATCAACAGTCAAAAGCATTGTTATCGATGCGTGGAAATATTTCTGATCGATTAATTACACTTAATTAATTCTGGTATCCATGACAGATACGTATTTCGACTACAATGTGCAGTCTTTATCAGTGTCATTCCCACTTTACTCAAAGCTTTGGTTATTTTTAGTTAGGTAGGTTCCGATTCTACACGTTGTAGTTTCATTTGTATACCTGTGATCTTGACATGTGGCTTGACAATGCAACGAGCATTGTTGACGACGAAAATGAATCTGTTTTGATACCGATTGTTGTAGACAACGAAACGCTTAATTCTTTATTTGACAAAACTTCAGAGATTGGAAGTCAATCATGTCAAAAATCATAACAATTGTTATTTAAATTTATTATTTACGAATATGACCGATGATTTCTGCGTGATTGAGACTCCCGCACCTCTATGTTAAAATGAAATATTTCATACTGCAATAGAATTCTCCGTATATAAAATTAAAATTACCGTGGAGTTGGCATATTGTCGTGCATTCTTAAACACTTTGAATCTATAATAAATCAAAATGTTTTCGCACAAGTTAAGCATTTAATTACAGGCAAACAACTTGGTTTTATTAAAGGACATTCAACGACTACTAATCTGTTTAATTTTGTAGCATTTTCTATTAACACAATGGATAAGGGACATTATGTTGAGGCACTGACTTCAGTAAAGCGTTTGATAGAGTTGATATCCCTCTTTTGCTGTTCAAATTATCTAAGTTAGGTTTTAGTCAACAGTTAGTTATCTTTTAGTTATCTTTAGGAGACTTTCAGTCGAACGCTGGTTCGTCTTCTTTTAGTCAACAGTTATTAAAGTGTATTCAGTCATTCTTGACCGGTAGGACACAAAGAGTTAGATTTGAAAGAGATTTATCGTTCCCACCGTCCCCAAAAGGTTCCCATTTTGGACCATTACTGTTTATTCTATTTGTTAATGATGTAGAGCACATATTGAATATCCTGAACGTCTCAATCTATGCAGACAACATGGAAGTTTTCCTGGAAATTCGTGAAGCGTCTGATCTTGTAAAGCCCGATTCTGTGTATGTACTTTGTTTTGTTTATGTGTTTTTGTGTGTGTGTGAAAGAAGTGGCTTTTTCTTTCAACGTCATTAATAGTGAAGCAGATGGAGAGTTGGAAAAGAAGGGGCTAAGGAGGTTTGAAATTAAATATTTAGAAAGATTTTAGGAGCAATGCTCAGCTGATCACTTTAAACCGATAAACCTGAATATTTTTCCATCTCACAGACAAATACCACTCAAACATGTACTGTCAATTTCTGTTCTGTATTTCTGTATTTAGTGTTGGAATTGCATGTTTGGTTTATTTTTTAGAATCAAAATTTAATCAACAATACAAATCGACAAATCCGGGGTGAAGTTGATCATGTAGGTTTTTATGAAGGAGTGTCTCAAATTAAAAATAAATTTCATTTCCCTTTTACCAGCCTTAATTGATTTGATATATATATCGATGTGTGTTTGCATTGTACCTGCTCTGGCCTTTCAGTGTTTTAAACCGAATTTCTATACCTGCATGTCAGTATAACACTTGTCATCTTAAAACTAAAAACTAAAACTAAAATCTATCTAATTGAGGATTGCAACGATTTTTGCCTGAAGTTATTAATTATTTTGTTGACGTCAAAGTCAAAGGTAGCACCACTGTCTACACCAAGGGGTGTTCAACTCTGTACATCCCAATCTGTGCCCAGTACTTTATCTGTGCCGAAAGCGAGGTCAAGCGTTGTGCCGAACGTGCCGAACTGTGGCAATCAAGGTCTCAGTCTCAGTAACCCATGAGATTGGCAACCCTGCACTTATGACGTTTGAGATTGTGTGTTAACATTTTCAAGTCAAGGACGGAAAAAAGTTGTGGAGCTAAATTCCAAGATAATATTGAACGAGCTGGTTGCCGGTCATCCGCTTCAAGGAAGCGGCACTCGAAGCTTAGCCGCTCCGCGAGAAGGAGAAGGGTGTCTGATGGCAGAAGCTGTCCATCCAGGAGAAGACAGTTCTGTACCGTGCGTCATTTTGGTTTGCCGAAACCAAGTACCCAACCGGCTAGTGGAAGATGCATCTTGTCTGTATTTTCATCATGCTACAACCTCAAAAACAGGAAGGACTCGACCTAAAATGCTCACCGGCGGTAGTAGTAGTAGCAACAATAGACCTGCAGTAGCTTCCCAGTGTCAGCAGTCGTGGTTAGGTACTAAATTCGTCTAACTGGCCTTCCCATTTTTATTGGGGGTCAAACTACTTCGACCATGGTTAAGAACCTTTAAACACCCTGTGCTGGTATTCTTATTTTTCATTATTCTCAAATTCTTACTTTTAATCTGTTTATCTCCATAGTCCATGGAATAATTTCCAGCATTATCCAAATGGCGTTTCAGGATCTCGATACTGGTTGCAGTCGTTTGATGACTACCTCCTCCTTGTATGCTTGCTTGTCGTTCCTTCATATTTTTATCCTTGGTCATACCGGAATGGCATAATAATCTCGCTGAAACTGCTGCTGGTTCCGATTGCATTCAATAATATTGGCTCCGTTACCTTCGGTGTTGTTACCTTCACAATTCTGGTAGCAGCATCTTTCTTAATGTTGCTGTTGTCATCGGTGATACGAAGAGTTGTGAAAGAGCGTAGAGGGACTGCAATCCGGTAATACGGGATCCACTGACTCCGCCAGCCTCCACAGTCAATCGAATCCGAGTTCAGTCCATAGAATGAGCTATACGGCTGACTGATTGGTGAACCATCGTTGTGGTTCTGCGGAGAAACAGCTGTGATTGCAGATACATCTGAAGGTCAAAGCGTACCTCCTGTTCACAAACCGTGACAAATTGTTCGCCCACGTCGAACTGAAGTCGTGACTCCCGATCACCGAATTGATATCGAACTTCAAACCAACGGGGTCGGTGTGGGAGTTTTGAAAGGAGATCAACAACCGTCCCTGGTTTTGAAATTCCTTCCTCTTCGCAAAAGCCTTAGCAATAACTTTATGCTTCTGTAGTTACACGGGTTCCTCGACATCTGGTCGGAAGCGCCTCCGAAAATAACGACATCACGATACCCGACGCGAATAAGCAAATCAGATGGATCTGTAGGATTGCCATACTTGGGCGACTCTGAAGCTTGCAAGCGCTCGTCACATCCGTGTACGTCGACGAAATCTGACAGATGATGTATTTTTTAAGCGCCAGTGCCCAACTTTCAGTTTTTTTTAACTCATGAATGTGGCAGAAAATGGTCGCAACGATGAACACAAACGTGAACATTGTACAGATTCCCATCCGGACAATTGTCTGTCGGATTTTCTTACTAGCACGAGCCGAGATAATCTCCTTGCTAGATATCTTCAGCTTGATCAGCGTCAGTAGTCCTCTTCCTAGGAAGTACCCTCCAATGAACAGAACACAAGCCACCGGCCCCAGCAGAAAGCCCGCCCTAATCGGATGATTCAAGTACCCCACGAAGCAAATCCCAACCGTACTGTTTCCATAGATTTCACTCAGAGCCATGATCGTTATTGTCAGCACTAGCGGCAGTGACCGCGCAATCAAATGGAAGTACGATACCTTCTTAGCAATCCTATCCTGAATTTTCCCAATAGCTTTGAAACTCATATGCCACACGTAGGTGAAAATGACGAACCAAACCATGGCCGCAATTAGGAAGTAGTAAACCAAAATAAACACCACAATACACGAGAGATTCTCACCGGCACTGGGTTCCGAAATGCGCAGAGTTCCATCCTTGCGACAGACGATGTCCTCCCGACTACCAGGAGTGAATTGAGCGAGCCAGCCCAAACAGGACACCATGAAGCAAAAGTTGATGTAGAAAATCACCAACGCCGGGAACTTGTTCGCATTGTGCCAATCGATCGCAAACGTTGCGATCGTAAACAAATTGAACGTCAGGCATACTCCGGCACCCCACGCGATCAACTTGTGAATCGGACGGTGCTCGTGATCGGTGAACAGTGGATCCTTGCACTGCAGACCGCATCCCTCGATATCTTTATAGTAATTCGCAGGGGAATCCGCTCCGACCAGCGGTTTCAGACACAGCCCCGTAGCGAGGAACAAGCATGTCCCCACTGGAAAACACAGAAAAATTAACAACCATTTCTCTAACGTTCTAATCGCTTTATAAAACATTGCAAGCACCTCATCACCTCATTCACCGCTTTAGCAGGCCCCCAATAAAAGGAGCCCTAAGTAAATGTCACGCAATGCCTGCCCCAATCGGTCATCTTTCCTCTGCCCCATGTTGCTTTTGACCATCTTCGCCGCCTGCTGCTGCGGTGGTCAAGAAGCAACAGTTTCCCCGCCCCCTTTGGTGACACATGAGACTGACACTGCAAAGGCATTTTCCGCAAATCGGCACGTCAACACTTTCGCAAGCACTCACTCAAAGAGAGTGCTGGCGATGCTGGCGGTGCCGAAGTGACGTTAATTGATACGCATGGCCATCTGGGGATGGATCCGTGCTTGTCAGGTCGGTTCAAAGGGAAAGTGTGCCGAAAATTTTCCGGGCCCACTTCGATGTCGTCACCGCGCATTATGCGATGATGAACCGTGCGTGCGAGAAGATGTTGGAAGATTGATGGATCTGTGTGTGCAAATCTTCCCGTAAATGCAACCTGTTGATAGCGAAATTTGATGGATCTGACTCGGGAGATGGTTTAAGTAAACGGGCGTGTGTAAACGTACATTTAAGCTTCGTCCGGGGGGTGGGTAAGTGCAGGCGATGAAATTGATAGCGTCTATTTGATGGGATATTGAGCTTCCAACAAGAGAAGCTGCAGATTAATGAAGAAGCACACCCAGATTGGATATGTTGGCGAATGGCGGTACGCTGTGTCGACATTTTATTACCTCTAAAAGTGATGGATCGAATACCCGAGTTTCATAAAAAAAATCACTTTAACACACATGAGGCCAAAACACACGCGCCTACTGCGAATCATCACACTTTTCTGTTGCAAATCGCAGCTCTTCAGTTCGAACGAACCAGAATCGCTGCAACCCACGGCCTACTGCTATAAAGTGGCAATTTTTATATTTCTATCATAAGGAAGGGGTGGAAAATTCGACTACGTCCTCTACTCCCTGCTACCGGTTATGATATTATATGCCGAAATCTGTCAATGATATTGAATTTTTCCTCCATGCTTTTGCCCTTTCGCGTGGTGCTATTTTTGACGACGACGACGACGATGGGTGGCAGATTGCAAAGATCATTTTTTTTCGTACCCCTTTCGTGCTGCGCCCTCACCACGGAGCCCCGCTACTAGGGTAGGAGCGAGTCACATGATATTTTTCTAGCCCACCACCACCCACCCAAACCAACAGGAGAGACTTTGGTTGGATGGTACAAATGTCGAACTTCAAACATAAAATTGGAGAGAATTTAATTCGATTTGCTGGGATTACGTTTCAGCAGATGGGATGCGTTGCCGTTTTGTTTACCGGTTCCTGCTAGGGGAAAGATTTGATAAAATTAGTAAAGAAATCAAAACACTCTTTCGTTTGGGTTCGTTCGAGCTGAAACCAAGGTAGGCTAGACGGTGATGAGTGGAGTCAGTGAGTGCCCCAAAATATCCCGAATTAAAGATTACTCTAATTTATAATAACATTCAGCCAGAACAGAAGAATTCAGTAAGTCGTTTGCTCCACCCCGCCACCACTGGCCTCACCATCCCTCTCCAAAGGGGGAGTTTGATAAAGAGAGATGAAAAAACCGATTTGTACCTTCCTTAAAAGTTGTCCTAGCTCGCTATTCTACTTTCTATATGCAATTTTCACACTGCCGTACTCTAACGGAACTATCAACTCGATACTTTCATCTACTCCATCTATCGTATAAAAATTACCACTACAGTCTGTTATTTGAAATTAGCATCTTCAACTATGTAAACATTTCAAAGTTTGAAACACTAGATATCTACGTGTAGAACACAGTGAACCATAGTGAAATACACTTAAAATAAATGTGATTGTGCATATGAAAAATCAAGTGTTTAACCACTTCGATCAGACGTGTGCACTTTTTTGAGGGTAGATGTGTTGCTCAAGCCATTTATTTTCGTTTCAAATTCAGCTAATGAATAAATCTGCACATGTTCGTCACTGCCAGAATTGCCACTGACAATTGACATGGTATGTCTTGACGATGACTGTTAGCTCAAATGAGTGACCAAAGCAGATTTTTGAATATCGCCACGAATTGTCGAAATTTTGCAGCACTGCTGCTAGCTACCCTCTCAAAATTGATGGAAGATTTTTATGGTGACCTTACGGAACAGTCAGAGATGTTTTGCTTTATTGCCATGCCGATGACGTTCGGGTACTGCAAACATTAGCAACCGCATAGAACGGATTCTGATGGACAATTCCAAGGAGGATTAATGACTGTCCCGGGGGGGGGGGGGGATATTCTGTACAATCCCTAATTCCAGTCAATCACAAAGGGATTTGATGATAGTCTCAGTAGAGATTCTAACAATTTCAAAAGAACTTCGGACAATCCAAAGAGGGAATATGGAATATCCAAGGGGAGATTCCAGTCAATCCCAAGGAAGATTTCACTCAATATTGAGGGCGGTTCATGACAGTCCAGAGAATATTCCAAACAATCCAGTCAATCCAAAGGGGGATTCCGGACAGTTGCAGTATGAAAAAAAAAAAATGAGATGTGGTGGTTCCTGTATCCCTTCGGCGATCGCTCATTTACAATCTTCATATAAGTTTCAAAATAGAATCAACTATGAAGTTGGCCAGAACTAGCCTATTTTGACATGGGATGAATAGCTAAATAAAATACCGCATTCAATGTTGTTCCTTTTGAGCTGCATGTGGAAACTCTGATATTCGTCATGAGAGAATCACCCAGTAGAACACAGCAACGCAGCTGACAGAAAGACAGCAGCAGCAACGACGGAAAGAGGGCGAATCCTCGGCTGGCTGTACGAGGTGTTGTCGAGGATTAACTAGGTGTTCATTCATTTGACACTTAAACGAGAGCGATGCGAATGGTACTACACTTGTTCAACATGCAATTCGTTCAGTCATATACACACCTCACATCTCACTCCATTTCTATAAAAAAAATCTTGCATGGCTACGGGATTTAAAATATGCTCACGTTCAACTGGATAGTGAAATTATATCAAAAGGATTTTCCACCCAGAACCGGCAGCTCCAACACACAAATTGTGTTTCCGAGTTCTGTCAAACGTTCATATCCTGCTGTTCAAACTACCCCAGCAAGATGCTCAAATGCCATTCCTCATGTTGCAAATACTTCAGCAACACTTTGATCCCGATTCGTACCTTCCTCAAAGTTTTCCTTGCTCGCTATCTACTCTCTATATACAATTTTCACACTGCCTAACTCTAACAGAACTATCAACTCAATACTTTCATCTCCTCATCTATCGTATAAAATGACCACTTTTAGTCTGTTATTTGAAAGTGGCACCTTCAATTATGATTCTAATTATTGTTATTCAGCTCGATGGCATCTTCGGCATCAGACAGCTTCAAATAAATAAAAAGGAGTCACTCACGGCATTTCATGGAAATGTTCGTAAATCACAGTATCTCCGTGAACCCCCTTCACTAGTCATCCGGCTACATCTAGACTAATGCCTTCACTTGTGTCACTTTATTATGCCTTGCTGGGTGAGTCTTCACGTCATCAAGCTGCAAATCTGCAATCCATAAACGTGCCATAAACTCCACAGCGCAATTCGTTCGGAAGCGTACAATGTTTCCTGACAGTCCGACCAGTATCCTCACTGAAAAGCCACAAAGTGTTACGCTCTCTGTTGACGGCGCAGTGAAATAAAATTCATTCACCTTATAAAATGATGCCATCCATCAGAACAAATCGCAACGCACCAAGAGACGGTTTCAAGCCAAAAGCCAATAACTATTAGTGGTCGTTTTGTATGGATCATGGAGGTCTCTCAAGGTACAGCTCTTGTTGATCCAGCAGCAGACGCCATCAAACATTCTACAATAATTTGAACCTTCTCCGGCAATACATCAATGTACTGATCACCTGCGCGAGCGAACAAGAGAGCTGCTAAGGTGCATCTTTCTGTCCTGATTCGTGCAGCTAAAAAAACATACCATCCCTAACTGATGGTGTTTGAATTGAATTCCAATGAAAAACCACAGGTAACAGTGATCACATCAAATTCTTGATTAGGAACTTCAAGAAATTTGATAAAGTTCTGGAAGCATTCCTTCAGCATTTGTTTCCAGAGTTCTCCACTTTTAGTACTTATTACTGGCAGAACATTGCTTTTCGTGGCTACGGTTATTCGATCCAGCAAGCAACTTGGTCTTCAAGCAATAGAGAAAAGCAAGCAGAACCAATATTTCCGGCCATGGGCATATTTTGTTTGGAGTGGTCGTTCTGCACCACTCTCAGCCCGACAGCTCTCCAAAGAGCGTCTCATGGTAGATCATCAAATTACTCATAGGTTTGATAATTTCTAGATCGTATGAAAGATTCTGATGCAAACCGGAGCTAGCTTTAAATTCTATGAACATTCATCCTACAGTTACACTCATGCTGCATCTTGCTATCTCGAATTGCAATTAATCTCGAAACCTAATTGCACGTCCCACCTATCAGTCCAGCGTTCGTCCTGAACCACTGCTTCAAAAAATCTCTAAGTGGACGTCCCGTCTCACTCATCATGCGGTCGTCCCAATCCACTTACACGACATTTATACAATGGACGTCCCATCTCATTCTCCTGATGTACGTCCCGTCACATCCGTTCAGCGTTAATTTAGAACCGCTGCACACTGGGGACAAAATCGAAACAATGTGTTAAAATTCAATAACTTCGGTGCTCGCTGGAACAAGAGACTAAAAAATAGTCATTCTTATAGAAAAAAGTCTCAGGAATCGATTGGAGTGGGTTTCATCTTGGGCACGATAGGGTAAGTTGGGGTTTTTCACAGTTTTGCCCTAAAATCTTCTATTTTGCATAATTTGAATGCTGTATCTCAAGATACCGATTATATAGACGGATGATTTCTTCGGCAAAGTTGATCAGGAGGTCAAGGACTGACT